TGTATTTGATTGTGTTTATCTGCAGTTAGTTACACTAATTCAGATATGGGATGAAAATCGGATAGAGATGAACGGATTTAAGAGTTTTTAAGAGTTTTAAGAGTTTTAGCCAAATGTTTTATAATATAGTATAGATAGAAATCCTTCCAGATAAAAACATTTTCGATTTATACAAACAGATTAATCCATACAAACAACATTATCTATACAAAATGTAATATTGATTGGTCTAGAAACATCTCTCCTCTGTGTTTTGGTAAAAGTGGTTTTCAACAAAGTCTCTTTTTGGCTATATCACGTGAAAACGGGCCACGTGTTTCAGAAATTATAGGTCGATACTGGAAAACATTTTTCATATTAACACTTCGATTATATACAGGTTGGAGAAGGATTACATTTAGATTGCTTATGTTTGTAAGTGCATTGTATCTTGATTTCACTAAAATTTGGAAGTGAATTTCATGAATAATTAATTGTCTTAATTATACTTTTATGTGATTTTAATATTGTTTGTATTTATGTTAAGGGATCAAAATTTAATTTTGGTCATAAACTAGTTGTTGTACAATAATAAATAGCAAACATTATAGTTCTTCAAAATCTTTTATTAAAAAATAAAGGGTTCCTTTATTAGTATAGGTTAGTTAAGTGTTAACAGATTAAATGATTGTTTATCAAACACTTATCTGGTTAGTCCAATAACACAACACTGTATACAACAATTTACCAAGTAAGCACTTACCATGATAAAAGTCGTCGCCCTCACTTACCGGGTAAGACTCATGGTCCTTGTCTCGTTATTAACAGATAAGATTCTTGATCCTTGTCTCGTTCTTACCAGGTAAGATTCTTGATTCTTACCAAGTTATATTACATTAACCAATGAATATGACAAAAATCAAGAATCTTACTTGGTAAGAGCAAAGACAATGATCAAAAATCTTACCCGGTAAATAGGGCGACAACTCTTACCCAATTAGTTCTTAGCAGTTAAAAACTTTGTATACGATGCCGTTTTAATGGACTAAAATCTTACTGGATAAAATACGTGATAGTGTTGAATTTAACAAGTAGACATTTACCAGGTAAATAAGCCATAATTCTCGCATTGTAGCACCTATGTTAAGGGTAGAATCGTTTATGATTTTAATGTAATTCATTATTGCTTTTGTTTATAACATTAACTCCGACAATTGTAAATCAATCAATTTTTATTTTTGTGTTCCACTAACTCCATCAATGATAAATTAAGTAAACCGCAAACACGAAAAGGACCTTTTTGTGTTGCATTCATTTTTTTTTCAATAACAACCTATGAGGTGTATTTAAATATTTTTTGTGGAGTCTAAAGCGTATAGTTTAGTTGGTAAAGAGATGAATTAGCTTAGTTTAGATACAAGACAAGTTTTAAGTTCTCAACCACTGAATGAGTCAAAAAAATATACCTCACATTAATATCCTTAAAAACAAGTTTCACATTAATATCCTTAAAAACAAGTTTCATGTAGAACGAATTAAGTTTGTTGATAATCAATTTTTGTCCAAATATCCTCTATAAAATTTAGTTTGAAGAGATTGTTATTTGCACCTCCTACTCCTACATACAAGGGATGTAATTAAAAAGTCCTTTTTAGTAACATTATTTTCTCTCCCACTCACTCACTCCCTCCCTTTTTTTGTTCTTTTTATAAATAGATAATAACGATTATTAGTATATACTCTATACTAAATTAGTAATTATATTTTTTATTTATATTATATATTAATCAAATTTAAAATCAATAAACTAGAAAGACAATATGCCTTGTTATTTATAAAAAATAATGTCATTTATTTTGTAATTTTACAAATTTTAACCATATGCATATAGTCGTATGTAGGGATGGCAAAAAAATCGAAAACCAAAATTTTTGGGTTGAGTTTGGGGACATCTTATACGGGACAGGGCGGGGATCAGGACATATTCGAGGATTTTATTGGGGACAGTGGTGGGGATGGTGATTACCGGTCCGACGCAGCCTGATATATGTATATATATTAATTTTAATATATATATATATATATATATTAACATTACAATTTAAAAGACTTTTACCTACGATCAAACAAATAAACTAAACTTTTCGTGAGCCTTATTTGGGATGTTAAGGTAAAATAGATAAAAGCCTTCTAAATTATAATGTTAGCATTTTCTTTTAATAATATTATATATATATATATATATATATATATATGTGTGTATGTATATAAATTAAATTTAGTATATACACACATATTGGGCTGGCTGGGCCAGGGATGGTACCATTTAAAATCTTCGAATATATCCCATCCTTATTTGTCTATATAAAAATCGAAAAAAAAAAACTTTAAAAATCCATATATTAATTCTTAATTTTCATTATATATATATATTTTTCGTATAACATATCATCAATCATTCTGCAACTTTAAAAATTAAAAAAAAATCATTATATTTTTTTCAATTTTAAAACTTAAAGAATAGTCAATCGATTCTTATTTATGTTTTTAATATTCAAGTAATAATTTCATCAATTTTTCAGCAATATTTAAAAATTCAGATAATAACTCATTATTATTTTTTATTAAAACTTCAAATATAGATTAATTTAAGTTTATACTATGTTTTATTTATAAAAAACAATATTGTTATAATAAACATATATAAAAAAAGTATTGTTAT